TGAAATACCTGGGCTGCTTGCTCTGCCAGGCCGCTCTCCTCTACCCTTGCCGAGGCGGTCTCGCGTGATTAGATTACGTAAGGGAGAAGGGCTGCTGTTTTACTTCTTGGGTGGTTCGCCAGTCTTCCGGAAGTAAATCCTAAACTCATTGGTAGACATAGCAACTTAGTAACTACTATAGGTCTCATGGTCAGTAGTCAAAGCTCGCAGAGATCGTTGAGATCTCATGAACATGCAGCCATTCAGTTCGAATTCCCGAGGCTTTGGGGGTTGATTCGGCCCAGAACTTAACAAACTCGGACTCCCACGAGCTAGGCGATGTTCAGGACAAAATGAGAGAATGATTCAAGCATTGCTCATTGAAGATCAGGACCAGTGCTTAAGATAACTGAGGGTTGGGGGTTGGTTGTTACGTCAGTTTCTTGGATTCGACTGTCTTTTAGTTTTGGCAACTTTCGGCAGGACCCTCCGTTATTAGAAGCTGCCAAAAGTGAAATTATCATGCCTCTCAAGCCCTCTCGAAATGGAACTTGCGGGCCCTTAGTGGGCGCACACAAAAATGGCCAACAAGCAAAACATCCGAACCCCCGAAATGAGGTTGAGTTCCATGAAGAGGCTGTTCATGCACACCGAACCAAATTGATCAGGGGCCCCATCATTGGCGGGCAATCTGGAAATAGAGTGACATAGTAGTACTGTGTGCCCTGTATTCCGCTCCTTCAGCCCTGGGTTTGGGCTGCTTTGGAATTCGCGTCCTTGCTGATCATGTCTGCCTGCCTTCTCATTCCTGACATATTCTCTCGCACAAGCTCGCGCTCCAAACCTTGCGCGTGATTCCGAGATTGCCTGCCTTTGGAGAGGCAGACAGCCCACAGCCCAAACTGAATTCCAGACCTGTCCTGAAGAGTTCCTTCAGCCCCACTAAAAAGATGCAGCACAGCCTTCTCTCTTCGTTTTGGTGCCCAAAGCTTAGACTAGCAGGTTGATGCTGGATGGATTAGTCACAGCTTTAGCTTCAAGAGACCGCAGACCAGGCACCTGTGAAACAACGGATATGTTTGCCCAAACTCATCGAGCCTCCCTCCAAGCCGGCGCAGCAACCCTCGGCTCGCAAGGTGCCGTCCACTATCAGGATATTGCCTTCCAAGAGCTTCGGGTTTGCTTCTGGCGCAATATTGTTTGTAGTCACAGAGCAGGCAAGGACAGGACACAGTGCCTTGAACGTGAACAGCACCTCCTTTTCCGTTGGATGAGCAGTCCGTGATATTGACTGCTCCCTGGACAATGAGCTTCCCATCAACTCCCAAAGCACCACCAGAGCTGTCTTCTGGCTCCGCAGCTTTCAACTGGAGAAAGCTATAATCCCACCAGTTCTCTCCTTCATGTTGATTTTCTGTGGCATTGTTGTGGCATGACTCGAAATGCATGGCCGCTCCAGGCAGGAGTCCGAAGCTGCCCTTCACCAGTATGCATGGTGACTCAAAGGGACGCAGCCCGACGATGTACAGGCTGCCTGAGACGTTGACCTTGTCTCCACAGCTGTTCACATGTCACATAATCCACCCAAAGCAGGATTCAGCTAGACACTCTCTCTATGGGGGCCTCTTTTTGTCTTGAACAGCCTGGTGGTACTCCTCCATGCCTGGCCGCCGAATCCTCATTTGCGAACATGGTGCAGGCAAGGCACGTCCTTGTTGAAGACTGCCGGGGCCAGCAGTTCAAGGCGTGCATCTCAGAGCGCACAGCTCACGCTTGGGGTATATAGGGCTTCCGATTACAGGCTTTTCGAGTCGAGTGACTTGGAAGGGGGAGGGAGGACAGACCCGCTAAGCACGGAATCCCAGACCCTTGGGAAAGAAGTGCATCAGATGATGATGAAGACGTGCTAAGAGATCTGTTCTTGTTCATGCGAGGTTATGACTGTAGGTCAAGAAAGCAGCATTGAAGCATTGTAGGAGGCACGCCCAACAATTATGTGTTCATATTTGTGAGTCCCGCACGCTCAGTTCCAAGCCGATCGTATCACCTTTGCTGGGCCTTCAAACACCATTGGTACACACAATCGAGCCACAATGGATGTTGACTTGTCACGGCTGCAGATGACGCATGCAAGACAGTAACATGATATGAGGGTTCTTTGCGAGTTGACAGCAGTTCCAGGTGTGCACCTGAGAGCTCTTCCACTCAAGCTTTTGGGTGGGCAGTTCAAACATCCACGTGGGACATCACCTTGGGAGATTAGGGCCACAAACCCGCTAAGGCACCGACCCCCTGACCTCCCAAAATGACATCCCGAACCCCAAAGCCGCAAAGCCGCTAAGCCCTGAAGCCGCACTCAAGTTCCAGCAGAAGCTCAGCCAACTGAGCACCGAGCCACGTGAGGTAATGTCGCAGGCTTGAGTGATCTCCACCGCCTCTGCTACCTGGAAGGCTCAGGACGAGATTCAAATCCTGCTGATCGGAGTCGGAGCGGGTGTTGGGAGCATCCAAATTATGAGGCAGTGTTCTATGCGTTCCATCAGCTGGAGATTTTCTGTCCATCTATCTGTAGTTTTGGACGCCAAGTCTTGAAGCCCACGCCCTCGTTCGAGAGACCCTGAAGCTCAAACCCCTGCTTATCTCCCAAGCATTCCGAACCGTCAACCACATGCAAACAGAGCCATTAGAGCAAAGGGCCCTAAACGGTGAACCTGCAGACAAAAAAATACCAGGCCTTAACCTTGGACCTTGACCGTGACCCATGTAAGGGTTTCTCAATCTACAAACACGGGGCGTGGCCTGCAGGGGATCCGAGCAGGATCCTAGGGATAGAACGTGAACATTTGAGAAAGAGGAGAAATGCCAAGTGAGCCAATTCATAACGAAGGCTGGCGCGCAAGGATGCTGAGCCTTGAGAAAGGCAGGCCTGAATGATCCAGCCCTAAACACTAAACCCCACGGCCCTTGGAGAGAGGCCACACAAGCACCGCCTATGTCCTCATGCGGATTTGGCTTGGGAAGCGCGCTGTCAGCTGAAGTCTTCGGGAAACCATGCTTTCCACCACCGAGGTCTGCAGCCCACACGCTCAACAAAATCAAAATCCACCTAGACTGCCAGGATACCCCCTGAAATCAAACGCAGCGCAGACGCGTAGCAGAAGCAGAATCACCAGAGGCTAAAAGAAGCAACGACGCCCATGTGAGTGGTTGAGATGTTTTAAGGCTCTCATCCTTGATATTTCAGGCACGCTCTCCTGCTGCCCGGCACTTACATTTCATAAACCCTGCAGCCACGAACTGCGCAGGTCCAAGCCGCTGAAGCCACGAAACCACAAACCGAAAAGACTGAAGCTTTTAACCCTGCGCCCTATGCTACAACGCATGCAAACACCCAACACCCCCAAACGTCAAACTGCTTGAAAGCCAAAACCTTCCCTCACCTAAACCCTGCGCCTTGTAGACACCGTTCAGCTCCATGCGCCCTCCCTCGCACGTCAAACTACTTTCGTCCTTGGCTGCCGCAGGGTCCTCTGCGGCATGGCTGTGTTGTGTTCGGGCTTAGGATCTGGAGGTTTACGGTTCAGGGTTGAAGGCTGAAGCTTAGTGGTTGCAATTTGAAAGCTACCTTGAATGGGAAAGTTGGGGGCTCAGGGTGTCACGTTTACGGGGTCCCTGCTAAAAGGGCAGGACCAGGATTCCGGTTCAGGGTTTGCCCCGATTTGAAGGCCGAGTTTTCAGGGTTGCGAATGTCCTTGGGTCAAGGGCTTGGGCTCCGCACGTCCAAGCTGAACGGAGATGAGTTCAAGCAGACTTCTTTTCCTTAAGAACGTAACCTGATGTCTCTCTGCTCATGCCACGCAAGCAGCGCGAAACTCACATGCAAAGAGCACTCGGAAACATGGGGCACTAATGGGAACTACATTGCGCGCTCTTGTTGCTCCTGCTGAATCTCCGACTCATGTCGTTTTTCTGCAAGCTGCGGCGAATCTCCTTGGCAAACGGCCACCAGGTAACCAAAAATTTGTCATGAAAACCTTCTCGCAGGCTTCACACTACAAGTATGCAGGGCCAACCTTTCAGCCGTGTATGCCAAACTGATCACAGCTACCGAGGTGCAGAAGAACTGAGCCCCACACGTAGCAAGAAGCTCTTGGCCGCGCTTGCGCTGTGCATCCGGAGCTCCGGCGCTGTGCCTGGAGAGACAAGAGACCAAAAGTTGCCTGGACAGTCTGCAAAGCCTGCAGATGGGCTTGTACCAGCATGCTTCCATATCTCACTTCTGCATACCTCCCCGCCCTCAATCATCCTGGACCCCAAAGGAAATTAAAAACAAAAAATTGGGGGCTTAGCTGCCCTTACCGCTATAAGTCCCAAACCCTAATCGATCCTCAGCCCTGCAGGATCCTGGAAGCTGAGCTCCAGGCGTTCCGCCACTGGAGCATGGGGCAGCACATAGGCGAACAGCAAAAGAGCCAACATGGAGACTTTCGCAAATGGATATGGAAAGAAGATGGCAGACTACGTTCTATACATGTAGCTGGCGGCAGCGGCTGCGGGCAATCACGAATAAGCACAAGGCTGACAGCAACACTGTTGCACAGGTTTAATAGAACCAGGTCTTAGACAAAAACATGGCCGCCAATCATCCTGATACAACGTCCGCAGATTTAGCCGTCAGTAAACCGTCTTGAAGGTTGCTTCATGCTGGCAACTTTTAGGGATGCTACGAATGAAGTAGAAAAGCCGGTGACCACAGCCCTCGAAAATAATGTCTCACACTGGTCAAAGCCTTTGGTTCTTGCTATGACTCTGAAGTCATGGGAAATGATGCTGCCCCATTGTGTCGAGTTCAATGCAACAAAGAACATCATAATTTCACATTTGGGGCGCCTTCCCTTCTTACAGGCACGCCCATGATTACGCTTTCAGTTTGCCTGCTGCTTCTACCCATCGCATGATCCTTTGCATATACACACACATTTATACAGCCGTGTCTTCATCGCTACCACAGTTTAGGTATCTTACGTGGTGCAAGACCTCCTCCATCCATGTACTGCCGAAGCCCGAAACCCAAAGCCCCAAACCAATGGCACATGCATGTCGGAATCCTCCCACAGGTCGCTGCTGACGGACTGGAGGATGTTGCTGTTGGCTTGGAGAGCCTGTAGCATAAAGTCCGAGTTGCGCCTTGGTCATGTGGGAGGTTTCTCCAAGCAGGGTACCTTTTAAACACCCTGGGGAGATATGTGCCAACTATGAGGGGCTATGACAGGTCGATACTGGAGAGCCTGTGTATAAGGCCTGATAGACAGAGAACGTGAGCCCCTGCACAAGTCCCTCTCGAGCTCCACGGGGTGTTGCCATCATCTCTCACAGCAAGAGTCATCATGAAAATTGCCTCTGAAATGCAGATTTTGCCGCAAGCAATCACAAAGTCTGAGGTGGCAACCGCAGGTTGGCATCTACAAATTCAAACACCCTTGGCAAGCAAGGTCCAATGCACATGGGCAGTTGACAGTATGAGAGGCGTCCTGCGCGAATCGTAAAGGTTGAGTCCATACCCTTGAGCACGCACATGGAAAATAGTGCTGCAGAGAACAACACGTGCGCTAGGGTCAGTTCGGCAAGCTGCTGCGGAATGCAACCCTGCGTATGAACACTAAAATCACACTCAACCCATGTTCAAACACCTACTCAGAACTCCTACCCAGAATCCGATTCCCTGGCACGCAGTTTCGGCACACGCAGCTAGCGCATCCCTTCTACCACTCCTCAAGCTATGCACTGTTTCTTTGCAACTGCCTTTGTTCGTTACCCCCCCTCCCCCCCCCCGGTTCGTATGCAACCACCCAACTCAGGTGGTATCGGATTTAGCCCAGTGACTATCGAGACGCAGCGTTGATCTGACATGGGCTACAACGTCTACAGTCAATAATTGCTTATGGAATGAAGGGACATGGATTTCCAAGTGAGAATATGATGACACAATGTCCACAAGTCTCTCCAAGGTAAGAACAACCGTTTCGCCGGGGCAAACCTCACGTGATCTTGTATAGAACAGGGGCCCGGCCGTGAATTCCGTTGTAGAGCATGCAGCATGAAGGATGGCTCCTGGCACCAGCGCCAGCCCTCAGAGCTGCGGCAATTATCCGCATGCACGTGCCAAGGATGCATTCATAGCTGGAAGATTAAAGGGCCGTCCTTGCATGATGCTAGCCAACCATAGACAGCGCATTTATCCAAATCAAGGTCCAGCTTGGTACCCCTCTTGAAAAAACAAGATATTGTCGCTGTTTACCAGACTTTGAAGGTGTCCTACACCGTACATATTCCTATACCCCTTGTAAAGCGCTACACAACATCTGCTGTGGCTTCACCGACCTCTCGCAAGGAGTCAACAACGTACGGCAACACCTGCAAACACTGAACTTCCAGGGAGAGTGGTACCGCCGAAGGAAACATCCTGCATTACCCATCAGTCGGCAGATGCCATACGCCTTCGGGGTCTTGAGTCTCTACGTCATCCACTAACAGGCTCAACAGTCAACTTTCGGCATTCTCACATGCGGAAGCTTCCATTCTTGGGGGTTACTACTGGAGATCCGACAATCCGCTTACCCCTCTGGGCGCTTGGAGTCCTTCTGAGATGCATCACAATCATCCCAAGGACCGTCCAAGCCCCCTTTGATTTGCAAGACGGTAGTTTACAAGGGACTCCTGTTCAGGTCCCAGTTAATTTGGGTGAGGCTAGTTGAGCGTGTGGTTACGGGTACCTTGACTTGCTTCGAACTCTATGGTTTGCCTGCTTTTATCATTGCGGGTTGGTAGGGAACATGGGAATCTACCATATAGAGGTTATATAGGGATTGCATTCTCTTATTCCTACTAAGAGCCAGTTAGTTATAGTTGTTCACGAAACTCCAAGGAAGCATTGGGGAGACCAGAAACACGCACCTCCGCATTTCTTTGCAGGGCATTGAGCACAAACTCCCGGTCGCCACGCAGCGCTTCGTCCACGTAGCGCAGGGCTGCCCCATCCTTGTTGGTGTTAAGGGTGCTGGATCCATGTTGGGATTCTCGGAACGCTAGGGGCACTCTTCTCTACCTCAAAAACTTCTCTTCTCGTTTCGAACCCCAATTTTGTCTATACTCTGTATTGCAGAATCAGATTGCTACCGTTCTTGTGATTACGTAGCAATTCGCAATTGCGATGCTATCAACAAACATGTTTGACACGTAAAGTGCTACTTTGGGGCTGCATCACCATTAACGGCTTTCCCATCGGGCGTTGGGTCTAAGATCTGGATTGGAATCTAAAGGGTTCCCTAGGATTCTGACTCCAAAACATCTGCAAGACAAACTGAGCGACAGGCAGACTCCACTGCTGCAAGAATCAGCTGCTGATCATTCTGAAAGAGCCTCAGCTCCAGCATTTGCAGAGGGCGTACCTCAAAATTACATGTCCTTGGGTTGGGTGTCTGTGATCTGGAAGGTTGCTGTTGAGGGGTATCTCGAGAACCTTCCACATAACTCCTCTTCAAGTCTTCACAAGCAGGATCAGTCTGCAACTAACGGCGGTCTTATGGCAGGCTACACTTGTGAAAGTTCCTAGTTGGACTTTTCCCCTTTGTCGGATACTTCTGTTACTAAACGTCATGTATCTCTGTGCATGGCTATATCTCGGACCTATACTTTGATCACTCTTACAAGTCACTATGGCATGAGAACCTACAAGTGTTCTTTCCACGACCACACAGTTGTTCACCCTGCAAGTAAGGCCGCAGCTCGTCAACATACCGAAAAGTGTCTCCATTTCGCGCCACGGCTGCGAGGAGGAACTCATGATCCTCAAGTTTCTTCTTATTTGTTCTGGCCTCACACTTGAACCTCTAGACCCCCGCTTCAGTGCTTGGAGGAGGGTGCTTGGGGCCGTTTTTGGATGCGTGATGCCAGCATCTGTCCGCGAAGGGAGCTGTAATGACTATCGATTTCATGGTAATCTATATAATCTTCAAACAGACCTCTACGGGAACAACACGGGAGCTTCTCGGACTTTTTCGCGAAGCATCATTTCTTTGAAACTCGCAGCATGCCCCCCACACCCATTGAAAAACATAAAGCGGGAAAGCCCTGACCCTGGTGCTACAAAGCATTTCCTCCTGAAAGAGCGGCAGGAAGAGCAGCGATGATGCGTTCCTGCACAGCTCAGGGTCGAGGGTGCTGGCTTGCCACCGGCCTTTGGGTTTCATAGAAGTACATGATCACGAATTGCCGGCGTTTTTTCTTATATGGCAATTCCAGTTGTTCGCCAGCACATTATCCTTCTAGTTGGGGCCTTCATAGTCTTACACATGCCCTCAACATAATGGGATGTTTGATGCGAGGACCCAGTATGAGCAGGATTTGCACTGCGAGCCTTCCAACTGCCTCGAGGGCAAAGGAGAAATCTTCGCGCCATTCAGGTGCCTCAGGCAGCACCATCTCTCTTGCGGGGTTCTCAACATGATCGCCCGCCTTACAACCCTTACAAATGACTTCATGCTGACGTTGAGCTTTCGGGCGTTATATGGCGCACAACTTCTTACCATTGCATGAGCATGCCGCTGCACAAGTTGCTCTCATGATGACTGGCTCTGAGGTTTGCTGGGATGCTGGCAGCGAATAGAAGCGCCTTGCAAGATGGGACAAGCGCAGCCCCAGTCCGACATGTGCCCAAAGTTCCATTTCCAAGAGTCCTGATTTTATACCCTTGAAATGTGTCTTTTAAGGTCCCTCATGCTTGCAAACAACCATATGAAGAACAGAATCGATCTCAACCAACTCCAACTGTAGCAGGTCGCGCCTTGCTGTTGCGACCTCAGCACAGAACGTGAACAGTTCGCGAGGCAGCATCAACGTTACCAGTGCTAGGAGACAACCTGAACCGTAAGACTAAGGTTTTGAGATGCTAGACTGCACAGACATGAAACATGGGCCAGATTGTCTTCCTGACCCTTCGTTCTTTCATGCTCCCAGCGCCCGGCCGATAGCCGCAAGCACGAAGCTTCGGTCTGCCTGCAGGACCTGCTGGTCTTGGCCCTTCCCTGTAAGGAACGGCCACATTCATGTATGCAGACGTAGCTAGAAGGGATACGTCATCAACAGGTTGTAGGAAGCAGGTCTAGAGTATGGGAGGATCTTGTGGATTTGAAGTGGTTGACGCCTTTTTGAGAGGGTTTCCGAAGGAAACCTGATATTGAGGCTTAGATGACCCCTTTCAAGCAAGGCTGCGCTCCGTACTGGGGGCGTTCTATCTACGGCAGCTACGGGCTCAGACAATCATGGCCTTAGGACGTATCAGTTCTGGGCAGTCGTGCTCTACAAGGCCCCTCGGCCACTCCCCCTTGACCCCATTCTTGGTTGCATGACTCCCGATCTTGAGCATCCTGCTGGTCATGTGGTCATGTTGGTGCTTCCCATCACTGTAACGCCGGGATCCTATACAAGCCTAGAAACTTCATACACTTGAAGCCTGAAAGCGAGATCTTCGCTCTGAATCACAACAAGACGAAACCTCTCAATCGTTCCCACGTCCCCGCATGACCACCTCAGAGGCAAATGAGAGAGCGGCCCCATCCTCAGCTGGAACAGCTCGTGTAGTCAGGGTTTAGGGTCCAAAGAAGTCAATATTTGGGGAACTAACTTTCTGGATGACTCTTGGGAACTGGGTGACCAGCAGTGCCTGTAAGCCCGGGACACTTTGTACTGCAGCCAAAACCACCTGACGGGTTGTGAGGGCAGCCGGAGCGACTCATCCCAGCAGGGCAGTACTGCTAGAGCACTTCAGAGGCAAATGGTGTATATATATATATATGTATGGAAAACATTATATAACCCCTAGAAGCTCAAATGTCTCCAAATTCAAAATCGTATTGTTGGGATAGTTCTGCCAAGCATTCTACCACCTCGAAAGTCAGGAAAGATGCTTGTCTCGAGACAGCGCCGCGTGGTGCAGGTGTTACCTAGACCCCTTGGGTACCTAACTTTATACCTAGTATAGAAGAACAGTTAGATACCCTAAAAAGGGTGTAGGGTATGGAGGTCTAGGTATGGTGGCTCTAAAGCTGCAGGCCCTGGGCTCAGTCCGAGCCTCCCTGTCGGCACGAAGGCCTGCCTCTGCCTGCAAGTCAGCAGGTAGCCGTTGCTACAAGGACTACCTGGACCCCAAAAGTATGTAAAATAATGGCCTTCATGGCCGTTTTTCTGGGTTTAGGGCTATTACTTTACATACTTTTGGGGTTCAGGTACAGTGCAGTCATGCCTCCCTGCTAGAGCGCTGCCATGCTGTACTGCTAATATTACACATGTTACTATAGCAGACTCCGCAGTTGCGGTGACTTGTTGTCAAGAAATTCTGCTAAGGATCACAGTAAAACCAGCGAACTTGAGGCCCCCACCACAGCAAAAGCAGTTTAAAGAGGGTTTGTAAAAAGTTGCCTACAACAGATCGAAGCATAACAAATGCTTGAACGAACCTGCTTTAGAAACTACACTTGTTAAAACGCCGAGGAGGCTTTAGTAAAACCTAATTCTAATCATAGTTTCGAAAATAGCCGGATTGTATTGAAACCCCAAACGAGTTTAAACAGCAACGAATTCAGAGGTACCTCAATGAAAAGCCTCCGCATTACCCAAAAATGTGAATGATATCTTTAAACTTCAGGGTCGGGGGTGCGGGGTCTAAGTTGTGTGGTGACAGTAACTTCCGTCGAGCCTGTGCGGAAACCATTTCTCACGAGCCGGCTTCAGGTATGTTACGCTGGTATCCCGACGTTTAGGCGACTCTCCAGTCCGAGCTGCATACGCCAAGGCTGTGCCATTCCTTTGAACAGCAGAAAGTATGAAGTCCCGGTCGCGTCGGAAGCCCTGCCAGAACTTTGGGATCTTTCCATGGGGAGGGCTCTGAAGGGGGGGAGTTGACAGATGTACCATGTCACCATCTTCAGGGTGTAGATTCTGAGGAAATGATGTTTGTTTTTGCAGGTACTTACTTCGCAGTGGCAGGAAGCAGCCTCACACAGACCCTCAAGGTTAGAAGGTGTATGGGGCTAAATAGGCTGAGGTGATTTAAGCCCTCGACCCTACACAAGAATATACTTTCAAGGAATGATTTAGGGACTATATAGGGTATATGTCCCTTGTTCCCGACTAACTTGGTTACCAAGGCCAGGCCTCATCTACGCTGTTCAGGATTTGGCTGTTGACCTGGACTGCTGCCAGCACAACCTGCCATCCACGGCAAGTTGTTGCTGCTGCTTGCGAAGCCAGCCTTTAGGGTGTGGAGTGCGAGGGAAAGGTGTGAACCTTGCTGATGAGTTCTGATTTGAGAGGCTTCAGGCTGTGGTAGGATGTAAAGCTGGTAGGATACCGCCTCACTCCAAGCATGTTCGGAGCTTGCCTGTGGAGGAGAATCGCCTTTGAACAATTTAGATGAGAAGTCATCGAGCTGCTTGCTTGGCAGTCCCCAATCCACACAGTTACGGTGTGCGGCGCGGGGGCTAGGGACGACAAACTTGACCGCATGGAACTCGAAATTTTATCCGACCACAATGTCAAAGATCACAGATGGAGGTTCTTGCGCAGCACAAAGGACTCATGGGGTAAGCGTCCCCACATCTACCCCTATAACGTTGCATCCGTATGGAAACCTGTAGACAAAGTATATTCAATCCCAACAGTCTCTGCAGCGTGACCCTATAAGAGCCATGCCTCCTGGTCCCCTCTGAGCTCCTCCGGGGCAAAGTGAAGGGCTGAGCTGTTCCTGCGCAGCGACACGCCCAGACCCCTGTACCACTTGCTACCTACGTCGTAAAAACGCACAAACAGGAGCGCTGAGAGGAATGTCTGTGGTGCTCAGAAAGAAACATCTCCTCATTGTCATCATCATCATCATCATCGTCATCGTCGTCGTCGTCGTCATCATCATCATCGCTACCATGATCAATAATTACTAAACGGGCTACCCAAGAAGGCTCTATCTAGCAGCGCAGCTTCCCAAATCAGAGTCTTCTGTTCGCATCCCACGACGAAAACCCTAAACCACCCAGATCCAAAAACCTTCGAACCTCTAACTTAAACCAAAAAATGCGAACAAACTCAAACCCTGAAGCCACGGATGCCGCCTTCGCACCGCGGCGATGAGGAAGTCCCGGCTCGTCAGGAGCTCGGGGCTCACGAATCGCAGGGCCGAGCCGGTGACCTGAACCCAAGGAGGCAGGGCTTAAGCGCTTTGAGGCCTGAACCAAGGGTTTAGGGGTTTTAGGCTTTGAGGCTTAGGGTTTGGCATTTGATAAGTGTGGAGGTCATTCGCAAATCCTCAAGGGAAGCACTCACAATTGGATCCCCACAATGCTTTTTCAAACTAGGACTGAACTGGCTATGTCTCAAACAGCAGGTCTGCGTTATTACTACTCGTTCTAGAAAGTCCAGAAATGTCCAGAATATCCGAATCGCGTGAGGCGCAATCTTGTGTCGGCGCAATCTTGTGTCGTGATCTTGTTGCGCACCCTATGCCAGCCACAATTAAGAGCTCCTTGCGCAATATCTGTGGAGCTTGAACTTTCTTTCTAAGCCCCCTGAAGCAGTGTTGCTCATGCCAGACACATCCCAGCAAGCACTGTAAAAGCCTAAGCCGCTAACCCCGAACCCTAAACCCTAAACTCTAACTGTGCCTCCACAGCCTTCATGATGAAGTCTCTCTTGTGCCAGAAGTCTTCCATGACATACCTGCAGTCCCGTCAGATCCCTCAACACATGACAGTCGGAGTGCTCCAAAAGACTTCAAACCGAGTCACATGAATAAAAACACTGAGAATACGCAAGAACAAATCATCATATTGCTAAGAGAGGCTTCAGGTACTGCAGGGCAGCAGCATTGGTCTCCGCAGCTCGAAGGACGAAGCTCTGGTCCAGCTGCAAGGATTGCGACGCATAACGCATGGCGGCTCCAGTGCTGCCTACAGCTCTTAAGACAACTTCCGGATCGCGTCGAAACTCTTCTGCAGCGTGTTTCAAGGCTTCGCCATTCAGCATCAAGGCCCGCATCAGGAACTGCCGGTCCTCCCTGAGGTCTTGCGCCACGTACGGCAGCGCCGCCCCGTTCCGTTGCAGCGCCCTCCGCACGAAGGGCGGGTCCGAGCGCAGCGCCTCCGAGGCGAAGCCCAGCGCGGTGCCGTCGTTCTGGACCGCGGCGAGGACGAGCTCGGGATCGCAGCGGAAATCTTCATCCGCATATCGAAGGGCCTCGGAGTTCGACTGAACCGCGGAGAGGACGAAGTCCCGCTCGCGCTGCAGTTGCTCAGACACGTACCGAAGCGCCAGGCCACTTTTGCGGACGGCTAAAAGCGCGAAGCTTCGATCTCTTCGCAATTCCATGTCCGCGTAACATAATGCCATGCCATTACGCTCCACAGCTGCCAGAATGAAGTTCCGATCACTCCGAAGTTCCGTCGATGCATAGCAGAGAGCCTGAGACAAATGCTGCACGTGCAAATAACAGCGGAAGGCAAACACAAAGCATGTTCAAGTTAGCATGCAACAAGATCGAAGCAGGACCAGTGCAAATTTCTGTCCTCGTTGTCAGGAACCTTTGTAACCAGTGCAAGGTCAACTTCGGGACATTTGTTTAAACTCATAACAGATTGCACCTAGGCACTGTGCCATTGCGATGGATGGCTTCCAGGACAAAGTCCCGGTTCCATCTCCACTCATCTGAGACGTAGCACAGGACATCGCAGCTCCGCTCAATTGCAGCCTCAGGTCAAGGACTGGCGGGTGATGAGAATGAGAATGCCCCTTCCAAAAAGTACCAGTGTACAAAGAACACCAACAATCATGTTCCGAATCGGGTCGCACAAGCACTGCGAGGGTGCGACCCTGCTACTCATGACACGAAACACATCATTTCCAGACTAAGTAGCAGAAAAAGTACCAAGTCCTAGACCATACGCTACCCCAAACCCCAAAAGTCCCAGCAGCCAGCAGAAAGTCCTTGTCGCTCCGTAAGCGGTCCGACGCGTGCCGGAAGGCGCTTCCGTTGTTCTGCACCGCGGTGAGGACAACTTCAGGGTCGCCTCAAGGTTTCGGGTGTTCTGGCCTTTGGTTAGCTAGGAATGCAGGAATGGATCCTCATAGTAACCCATGGTAGTATTTTCCATCTTTTTTACATTCCTTCATTCCCAGCTAACCAAACGCCAGTTTTAGGGCTTCTGGGTGAAGGGTGAAGGTGTCGGCAAACTCTGAGGCCAGCAGGGAGCCTTCCTATCCCTGTTTACAACAAGGCTCGCACAGGAACTTGAGACGAAGTACGGATTCCATGCAAAGTTTCTGCAAGTTATTTGCTGACTGGGGTATGCGTTCATAGCATGAGACAAGACTCTAAAGCGATATTGCTGCAGCTCTTTGGATTTGTTTATTAACAACAAGGTGCCTTGATGCCGCTCATATGAGAGCAACCCTGAGCTAGGTTTCTGTGCACGTATGCTCTTCTTCCGAACCCCTGAACCCTAACCACACACCCTAGTTGAAGACCTGGCCACCTCGGTAACTCTCCTTCAGCTGAGTGAGGGAACCACCAATTGCCAAGTGCTCCAGGGCAGCTGTTCTTTCAGCATCCGCCCGAACAAGGCCGATGGAAACCCTGGGGGAACCCTTCCATTCACTGTGGCATTTCAGGATTTCAGACAGGTGTCTCTCCTCGTTGGATATGGGCTTTCCTCCAACTTGTAGCAGCCTTTGCTCGTGAGTAGGTATGCCAGACTCCTGCTGAATCGCAACTTTCAAATCTTGTAAATACCAGGATCCATCGGCGTCCACTGTACAAATGATGTCACCTGTTATGGCTCCCACAACTTGCAGCGTAAAATGGGACAGCAAGGGCACCACATCGTCGGTGTCCATGCGAAAGAGCAGCTTGGGATCCCTGTGAATTATCGCTCACCAACAGACAAGGCCCTGCTTCTTCGCACGGAAGCGTCTACGAAAGGCCATCAGCTCTGCTATGGTGAGCAAGGCACCTAACTACGCCGAGGAAGAAGTGTTTAGACTGCTTAGGACGTGGTTGGTAGCGCTGCAACTAGTTTGCTGGCATATTAGCGCTTGCAACATTAAGCGCCACTCAGGCCATGAATGCGGCTTGGGCGCTATGTGATGATTTCTTTCTGAAACTCAAGCCCAACATCACAGAAGCTGCGCAAATGGCCTGCTGCGACATTGCGACGTGGCAGAAAGAAGTCTCAGCAGAGAGGTGCTGACTGGCAAGGGATATGCTGTGCTACTGGCAGGCCGCGCTCTGCAAAAGCCAAGGTTCTCACCTTGTACCAATCCTCTTGCACATTAGGGGCCCCTTGTTCACAATCACCAAAAACAAACTACATAGCAAGGTCACATCAGGGTTTATAGCAGGCCCTAATTCTGGGAAAGACCCACCTGAACATATTCGGGACCCTCTCTCTGCCAACCGAACAACTTTTCCGACGTCCCCAAACAATAGAAACCCTTTCGAATGCCCGCATAACCCTGCATCATCCCTCCCATCCCTAAACCCTAAATAGAATCCCCACATAATCCTACTTAAACCCCATATAACCCTCCCTCAAGCCTAGACCCTAAGCCGCTTTTTTCTTCGCGAAAAAGGGATCTGCGCGTTCTGTCTCATCTCGGCAATTTCAGGAGCGGCTTGGGCTCCTCCCTAGGACTTTGGGGTATCCCCTTTCACGGGGATGCAGGATATGATATATGGTATATATATATATAAATACATAGGGGTTATACAGGAATAGAAGAGGATGCAAATGGAAATGGCCTGGGGCCCCAGAATTAAGGACATTCCCCCAAGAACGGAGAACCAGATGGAAAAGAAAAGGGAAAATGAAATGGACACTGGGATGATGTAGGCATTACGCACTCCCACCCTTGCTACGAACAGTGGCGCTGCAAGAAGGCTATCCCAACACTGGCTCATGCAGAGTAGCAATGGGGATTCGGCAACCCAAAGGGTGTCTTCTTCGGGTTCCGAGAATAAGGAGGATTCTCGGGTTTTTGGGGGGTAGGGAGTGGGATGGAGTGGGGACCGCCATTTTGAAAAATTACCATGACATTCTTCAGTGGCATATTAAGATCCATCCCACTCACTGGGGCCACCTCAGCTCTGCCCTTCTACGCGCTGTAGGTGGCCGCGCTGCAAAGACCTGCACACGCAGGAAGTTGGTGGGACAGAGTGTATTGGCAACACGCTTTACTGTGCTACGCAGCTGCAAGGGCTTCTAAGAAGACCTGAAAGCCGTGCTCACTGTGGCGCACTGTTACATTACATAGGCGCTAAACCACTCACGGCTCAAAGCCAACAATACGCATGGTAAGCCCGAAGGCCAAAGCAGAAGCACCCGCCACCCAGTTCTCAACATACCACTTTCCTACCCTGTAGTATTGCAACCACAACCCAGCCTGCGTCATAGGCGAGCAGGCCCAGTGAAGATCGTTGGCGACCAAGCTTGGAGTCACACATAGTCACGTGCTTCGAGTTGTTAGCAGCTATTGAAGGAATAGAAGACATGGAGACTATACTAAGCTACTACAAAGTTTAGATGTTGAAGATCTAGGGAGCTTGTGCTTGTGGTTGCAGGGTTTGATGGTTTCAGCATGCGGAGGGTGACAAAAATGGAAGTCAAAAAACAGAAGCCTCACATGTATGCTCTCAAACACCATATCCGTACTCAGGGACCCCTAAGAACCTTGAGGCTTAAGGGTTTCGGTCGGGGGTTCCGCTGTAGTTTTATGCTGAAGGAATGAGTGTGGCTTTTGGGTTGGGCTTCCTACTTGAAGATTGACAATTTTGGGTGGCCTGTATCTCTTGAAATCCTGGGGTTGGCTGTTGAGTTGAGTTGAGTCGTGGCCCAAACACTACTGGGTAGCTGTCCGGGCCTTACTGCTCTACTTGCACAGCTTGGTCGGAGGAAGGGAGCTGATTGGCTGAACACACTATTGAACCACAGCCCCGTTGCCTTCACGTTTGGGGCCTTCACTTGATAGCATTCATGTTGTTCCAACATAATGAGGACGCATTGATTTCCAGCATCTGCGTCGTGGGCGCTTCAGGCATTAAGATCTTGAGAGGTGCCTGAGTCAGGTATCTCTCAAAATCATTCTCATATGGCCCCTAATAAGGGCCTGAATCCCCTCATAATCTGTAACCTTGGGGTCCCAAGGTACCCCATCTTTGAGAAATTCCCCTGAACAGTGTTGCTGGATCTTCCCAAACTCTCGCGCCCGCGACATGTACTCCGCAGCACAACCTGAGTACGGGACAGAAATGATGAAGTCCTTGTCCTGCTGACACAGCCGGGCTATCTCAAAAAGTACTGTCCTTGAAAGGTGCGTCCTTGTAATCTAGTTCTCGTTGTGTAGAGGATTCTAGGAACTATGAAGTAGCCGTGTTCCTAGACATGGCTTTTTGGAGTTTCTGTGTAAACGCTGTCGTGTTCTCTGGTCTAATGAATGAACTAGAACCAAAGAATGAATGAACTAGAACCAAACCCTAAACCATGAGCCCAAACCCTATAGGTCCTTGAACGGAGTCCTTCTGAAACTCAGGGGATGCGTGTTGCAGCGCTTCTCCAGAAGCCTGCAAAGCCCGTAGGAGTGTCTGGAGTACATAGGAGACCATAGGATATGAACGGAACGAGGAATACATGAGGAATATAGGGGGCAAGTATTCCGGGGCTATCTGGGGAGCACGCAAAGACGATTCTTGTTGAGATCTATCCACATGTCTAAAGAATCCACTTCAGACTTTTGGAGAGAGATCAGAGTGCTTACGCTATGGGATGCGTGCGCGTGTACGTATGCATGAATTTTTTCATCTGCAGAAGAGTATGCAGGGCCTACTGTTGGTTGGTTTCACTCTACTTCTTACACGAGCAAGCCCATGCAGTCATGAGGACTCTTAGCAGGAGACCCTTCATTTTTTGAATTTCCGTTATGACTCACCGGCGCATGGCCAAGGTCCAAACATGTCCGACGAAGTCTCTGTCCTGGAGCTTAACGTGCGAGCTGAAAAAATCGGGTAAATGAAGATGCTTCTGACAGTTATGTGGTTGAGTATTCATTGGATTCCACAAGGCTTCTTGGACATGGTTATGTACGAAAATGACAGCCTCTCAAAGCGGGATCATTCTACGGCTCAAGATGAGCCCTTTGAAATGGCCCTTGACCTCTGCACTGTGAAGCCCTCAGCTCGAAACACTTGTGCCCTTAGCGGAAACAACAGAAAACAATCCATACGACGCCGAATGACACACAAGTGAAAACCATGTCCCTGTAGATCCTACAGTAAACCTTGACCAGCAAACCAGCATCCGGCTTTCTACTTGCAGATGATAAATCTTTGAGCTGTCTTTTGGGCAAAAAGCCGCCAGCTCTACCTTGCGGCCTGTCTTCACGGTGACGAAGTTCAGGCGGCTCCCGGCTGCAACCCAAACCCCCCAAGGGGTCTCATTAAGGTCACCCCTGACATCAGACGTTGAAGATCTATACACGCGGGCGTTGAAGTGAGCCTTTCTGGTCATGAGCGAACCATGCTTACGAACAGCATCTGCTTCACTAGCCAAGACACACCCTGCTACGGCTGGAAAACTAAACGAGCAGCTTGAAGTCTCATGACATTCCTTCCTTCTTCCTTCCTTTCTTAGTCGCTCCAATCTCCGTATCTGGGACCACTGGCGCTCTCAAATATAACTTCTCACCCTCAGCCCCGTGGCAGTCTTTCACATATAGAAGCTTAGTCATCATCCCCTCTAGCCATCTTGGGTAAGGGTTTCGTTGGTAGGCTCATCGACCCTAAGCCTTGTGTCAGTGCAGCAAGGAGCCCTGGTAGGGAGTCATAACCAGCGCGTGTACCATGTTGCACGCTTGTGGAACTTTCTGAACGGAAGTACAGAACCCAAGATGAGCAAAGCAATTCACCATAAGTGGATTAGGCTGTACGGCTTAGGTCCTTTCAGATTTTTGGGTTTCAAGCTTCGGCATCCCGCTATGAGACCCAATTCATTCTCTTCCGCTCTTTGCTCAGCTTGCGCATCTGCTGGTTGCTTAGACCCCTTCACGCAAACGTTTGACCCCAGGCAGCTCAGCTCTAGGCAGCCAACCTACAACACAAATGTCGACCTCGAACCCCAAAGCCCGACCAACAAACCCCCCGCCCTCCACCCGTCCCAAACCTCAAATTCATTCAACAGCAAACACTAAAAAACGTCTTTCCAACGGAAGGGCTTGCAAAGGATAACGCCTTTGAGCTGTCTTTTGGGCGAAAAGCCGCCAGCTCTACCCCACGGCCTGTCTTCACTATGACGAAGCTCAGGCGGCTCCCGGCTGCAACCCAGACCCCCCAAGGGGTCTCAAAACGTATCCCGGAAGTCAATTGTTAGTGGGAGCTCGCTTGTGTGGCTCAATGTCTTGGATCCCTCGCAGGATAGTTTACATACATGTTGATGCAGAGTTTGGACTTCTCTAGTTCGTGGGTGGCGCTGTTTAGGGTGCGCTTTCAACTGAGCCCCCTTTCTAATTGTTGAAACATGCTTACTGGCTGTACTATACAAGGAATACAACTTCATGCGAAACCTTAATACCGATTCCCCACAACCATTTTGCGAGGACTCTGAACACAAGACTTAATCTCTGTAGCATGGAATCCGTGTTGCTCTCGTACGACTTCCCCCTGCTCCCGAGCTAGCACGGCGTCCGTTTTTTGAAAAAATGTAAGATCTCTAATGAAGCTTGAATGCTCAGTGGGGTTTAGGCTTCTGCTAGACTCATAGACCCTATAAGCCTTGTGTCAGTGCAGCAAGGAGCCCTGGTAGGGAGTAACCAGCGTAGGTGCCATGCTGCCCCCTTGTGGAACTTTT